GAAAGAAGGAACGTCCTGTAAAATTAAGAGACTTTGTTGTATTTTAATTTTGTGTTTGTAAATTCTATACATTTAATTAAGTTATTTTTAATTATCTATTGGTTTAATGTAAGTGGCTATTGTTTGGGATGAACAATACTAAAGAAGGGGCAGTGTTATGACACCGGAAGACACTTGACATACATAGATAAATCTAAAGCAAAGCATGAATATGAGTTTAATCAACTTACTAATTAAAACATTAATGTTAGTGAGCTAAATATTCATAAGACTACAATGTGACTAAGTGTAAAGGAGCAGTAGAACTAAAAATAATAAGCTAATTAAGGCAAAAAAGAATAGCAAAGTAGTTTATCTCTAACTTGTGGAGTATTACCTGCCCTTGACCAAGAGAAATAGCCTCAAATTTATCACCACCAAATCCTGAGTCATCAGTAAACTTCAAAAGAGCAGTCATAGGATCAGCTCCAGGACACAAGATGAAAAGAAGTGGAATGCAGGAGCCAGAGTCACCGTAACTTTGAGAAAGGTCAAAAGGAGGAGGCTGGACAAACTTTTGTCCAAGGTTAGAACTCACAAATCTAAATACCCTAGGAACAATCTGGAAGAAATAACCTGATATCTGAAACATGTCAGGATTACATATACAAACCATCTTAAAAAGAAAACTCTGTATGAGTTAAATACAGTTTAGAGGATAAAATAAGTAAACTTAAATCAAAATGTTGCTGAGTATCTTTTTCTTATATTTAATTTTATAATGAGTTTATTTTATTTTCTTCATAAATGTATAGGTAACATTGATTTAATGATTGCCACCAAAAAACAAACAATGCAACAAACTATAAAAAGTGTAGCTCATGAAATCATAATTTTTAGCATTAATTAAATCAAAAACTGGATATTTTCAATGAATTTCTGTCATAAAACAAGTGCACTCTAGTCACATACAGATAAACTTGATCAAGATTTAGAGAATATAAATAAAGCCATGAGTTAATTTATTTCTAACTTGTACAAGTCAAATTTTGTAGAATGGTAATTCTACATGATAAAAAATAGTGAAACTAACATGCAACTTATTTTATTATCTCTTACACTTTGCTGCAAATCCTGATGAAGGGTGGTTACTTAAATAATTGCAAAAGATTAAATATATAATGAGTTTGATGTTGGTTTCACTGTTTTTTTTGTGTAATGAATCTTTACAGCTATAGTTTCAAATTATTCATTGTTCTCCTAGACGTAAAAGTACCTTATCAGGATGGAGACACCTAAGAACCATCATGCTTTGGAAATCTGATAACCTATCTTTCCAGGGATCAGGCAATTCAGAATTATGTGGTTCTTTTTGGTTGTAAAATTCTTTCCACTTAGCTGTAGATGTCATGAGATCCATACTAATTAAAAACAGAATGTTGCAAATCTTTGCTTAAAATGACTTATAGCACGTTACATATGCAATTAGAACTATTCAATTTTAATAAAGCAATACTTATTTGCATATTTTAAAGTGAACACACATTTTTTATTATAAAAACTACAAATGTTTTGGTTTTCAACTGTCCATTTTTTCAACAAGTTACCCTGATTGATATTATCAAATTACTTTCTCATGTTAAAAATATGAGTTTTATAAGAAATTCAAATACAATCACTAACTGATATGAAGTATTAAAACAATTCTAGGAAATATTTGAAATAACAAACAAACCACCTAAAAGTATTACAAAGAATTTTCTTAAATATCCTATTTCACTAGCACTGACTTAACTGATAAAAAATGTGTATCATTAAAACTTATATTATATAACAACTGCATTGATATTTCTTTGTATGGTAAAAAAAAGCTTTTCATCTCATAATTTCATAAAAAAATAGGTACATATCCATTGTGTAAAATAACAGATAAAAAGCCCACTCCAAATACTCATAAGATCTGTACGTAAGTGAGAACATATAGTAAGTTCTTTCAGACTAAGACAAAAGTTATATTATTTTCAAAATTTATAGCAGTTTTTAATCCTGTCACAAGCTTTTTAATATAATATCAAGGACTTTAAAACTGTTAAAAACTTATTGTGTCTAAATGTAGCTGACCTAAGTCCACTAAAAGGGGCGATGTCAGAGAGTCGGCACAGTTCATCCCAGCACTTCACAGGTAGCCAGTCAGTAGCAGGATTAGGTAATTTGTTTTCAAGACCTAAACCTCCCGTTAAGAAAAACTGCAAATGCTGTGGATTTAGCTCTTTCTTGGCCCTGGAAGAATCAGAGTTATGAATAGAGACCACTACATTTATATATATATATATATATTAGTTTTTTCTATAGCTATTTATTTTCATGTCTTTAGAAGTGTGTGAGTAATGAATACAAATGTGTATGCAAGGCAAAACAGCAAAGATCACTTTCTGAAGAAGGAGAATATTTAATTATGTTACTTTTAGGAGTACCAAAGTTAATCAAAATAGTACTGTTGTTTATCTTCTGATGCATTCAATACTGTAAGGAGTACTGATGAATTATATATGATAAAAGTCACAATGTTTGTCATCTGAATTAGTCTGTATGGTAGAGAGTACTGAAGAGTTAAATGACAGCAGCACTGCTGTTTGTCTTCCGAATTAGTCACTATGGTAGAGAGTACTAAAGAGTTAAATGACAGCAGCACTGCTGTTTGTTTCTGAATTAGTCAATATGGTAGAGAGTACTAAGAGTTAATGACAGCAGCACTGCTGTTTGTTCTTCCGTAATTAGTACTACGTATAGGTAGAGAGTAGTAAGAGTAATAGGACAGCAG